GGAGAGAAGAGAGGGAGTGAGATGAGAGCGGAGAAGACGGAGCAGAGATAGGGAGAAGAGAGAGAGAGGCGAAAGCGATGGAAGAGAGGAGAGAGAGAGAGGAGAAGAGAGGAGGGGAAGAGAGAGAGAGAGAAGCGAGAGGAAGAGAGAGAGAGAGAGAGAGAGCGAGAGAGAGAAGAGACGGAGAGAAGAGAGAGAGAGGAGAGAGAGAGAGAGAGATAATGAAATATATAGAGAGTAGAGATATAATATCTATAGATATATCTTCTATATTATTATCATATTATGCAATATCTAAATTGATATCTATTGTCGCTATAGAGTATGATATATATGCTATATATAGTCATATCTAATATATATCTATATACGAGTATCATACTCTGCTATAGTTTATCTTCTTCTCCTCTATCTCTCTATCTCTCTGTTGCCAGGCAGTGGCAGCAGTTGGGGGTAGCGGGGGGCGAGAGAACAGTGATGGCAGCAGCATTAGTGTTCCTCTGGCCGTGCCCACACCCTCCCCTCCCAGCCTGGGACCAGGTGAGCCTAGCGATACATCTCCTTTAGGTTATCTTAGCATTTAGCCTTCCATTCTGTTATTTTAGCTTTTCTGTTAGCTAAGCATTTAGCCTTTCTGTCTAGCTTCTCTGTTAGTTTAGCATTTAACCTTTCTGTCTAGCTTCTCTGTTAATTTAGCATTTCACCTTTCTGTCTAGCTTCTCTGTTAGCTTAGCATTTAGCCTTTCTTTCTGTCTAGCTTCTCTGTTAGTTTAGCATTTAGCCTTTCTTTCTGTCTAGCTTCTCTGTTAGCTTAGCATTTAGCCTTTCTGTCTAGCTTCTCTGTTAGCTTAGCATTAAGCCTTTCTTTCTGTCTAACTTCTCTGTTAGCTTAGCATTTAGCCTTCCATTCTGTCTGACCAGTCTTTCCTTTAGTATAGCATCTCCTACTTCTATCAGACCTGCTTCTGGTTTTCTCTTCAACTTAGCATTTGTTTGTTTATTGTATCAGCTTATCATAATATGCATACCCTTACGGAAAAACCACGAGTTTCATGTGAAGTGTTCCAAAAAAACATGTTTTCATGTGATAACGTGATCTTATGTAAAGCAACATGTGACAACATGAAACTACACATGATGAAACGTGATCACATGTGTTCCAAAAAAACATGCTTTCACATGATTTCACATGTGAAAACATGCAGTGGCAGGTAGCCTAGCGGTTAAGAGCATTGGGCCAGTGACCAAAAGGTTGCTGGTTCGAATCCCTGATCTGACTAGGTGAAAAATCTGTCAATGTTCCCTTGAGCAAGGCACTCTAGTTGTTCCGGTAAGTTGCTCTGGCTAAGAGCATCTGCTAAATTACATAAATCATGTGGTTTTTCTTAGCAGCTTGTTTGTTCTGTCAGTTTGGAATCTCTTTTGACATACAGTAGTGTTTGTCTGTTTGTTTTAGCCTCAAATTATGCATAAATTGTCCATTCAACACAGCTGTCCATTAGGATCCTGATGTGGATGCACATTTTGATTAGATTTTGGCAGCACATTATCATTATCTTCCCATGGAAGTATTTTTTTCTGTCTGGTTGGTGTTGCATTCTACCCACAGCTGAGTCGATACCACCCACATATAAACAAATGACCTAAGGTTGACTTCAGTGAATTTGAAAGCCAAATACTTCTCTACTTCTCTTGATCACTAGCTCACTCACACTCCTTCTTTCTCCCTACCCCTCTCCCCTCCCCCCAACCCAACAACCACAGCAGCAGCAGTCCACCAAGGCCCAGGCCTGGGTCCCATCCCCATGGCCCAGTTTGGCACCATCTCACGACAGGTCTCCCGCCACAACTCAGCCACCTCCTCAGCCTCCATGGTGTCGGCCACGGGTACCTACCGCCGAGCGCCCTCCGGCACCTCCCATTTCTCCATGTCCCAGCAGCCCCACCTCAATGGGGGCCCTGCCTACCCCCAGAACTCAGGTAAGACCATCGAAAGGAGTTTTGTTGTATTATGGTTGAAGGAATGTTGTGTCTGACTAAAGAACAACGTCAATAGACCGTCGGCTCCCGGATAGGAGTCAGTTTGAGGTAGCTCACTTTTATTTCAGCTAAAAGAGGAGGAAATTCAGGGCAGTGGAAGACATAAATCCACACACAAGGGGAAATCCAGGACACACATGCGGTATACACAAGCCCATATTAGCTGACAGACAAGAGGAGATTTAGGACGAACGTCGCAGACATCAAACCAAGGCATACTGTCAGTATCTTTGTTAGCATAACATTGACCCATAAGAGGTGGACAAGTCTGGGGAGGGGAGACAGTTTTACCTTTATTTAACTAGGCAAGTCAGTTAAGAACAATTTCTGAAGGCAGCTCTATGGCTGTGCCCAGGTGACTGGTCTATCTATCTGAAGGCGGTAGGGTTGGGCGGTATCCAGATTTTCATATCGTCATACCGTCCTTCTCTCATCCTGGGATATACGGTATTATCGGTTTGGTACACAAGGTGGTGCCATCTATTACCAGAAATTAGCGCAAGTAATTTAGCGAATTTCCATGGAGACTGCTAGCTAAATATGCTAACGAGCGCAAACAAAAATAAACGAATTGCAAAGACAGGCAATCCAGTTCATAAAGTTATACATATATAGGTAGGAGCTACCGAATGTCATTTTTGGTGAGTTTGGACCAGTGAGTCGGTGCCGTTTTAAGATGAGGGAGGATGATCATTTTTTAAATGAACATGGCCGTATTTCTATTCCAGCATATTGGATGACTGTCATTCATATTCCATTCAGTCATCTTTAATGTAACATCGATAGGTTTAGGCTACTACATGATACTCAAATTTTCCCTGTACCCATCATGAGGTTGCTACAACCTAGCCTATGAATTAAAGTTTACACAGGTCGAGAGAATTTTGAGTAATCAAGGTGACAGACAGTGACACATTCAATACCGCGTTGCACACTCTTGCCTGCATCTAGCTGATCTAGGGTGTTTGAGTAGGATGTTTGAGTAGGCCAAACTAGCTAGCTGCATCCGATGCGAGCAAAGTAAGTGAAAGTGAAAAAATATATATACTACAAAATATAGCTAGCTCTCTCTCTCTTGCTTCTCCTTCATTTAGGAAGAAATTAATTTGTTCAAAACTGTTCAACTATTGTCTTTCTCTCTCTTTGAGTCAACTACTCACCACATTTTATGCACTGCAGTGCTAGCTAGCTGTAGCTTATGCTTTCAGTACTAGATTCATTCTCTGATCCTTTGATTGGGTGGACAACATGTCAATTCATGCTGCAAGAGCTCTGATAGGTTGGAGGACATCCTCCGGAAGTAGTCATAATTACTGTGTAAGTCTATGGAAGGGAGTGAGAACCATGAGCCTCCTAGGTTTTGTATTGAAGTCAATGTACAAAGAGGAGGATGGAAGCTAGCTGTCCTCCGGCTACACCATGGTGCTACCCTACAGAGTACTGCTGAGGCTACTGTAGACCTTCATTGTAAAACAGTGTGTTTTAATAAATTATTTGGTGACATATAAATATATTTGATCTAAAAATGATAACTTTTTTAGTGTTTCACTATTTTTATTTTTATGAAATTCACTGAGGAGGATGGTCCTCCCCTTCCTCCTCTGAGGAGCCTCCACTGGTTTGGACATTTACAAGCAAATGTGAACTCGACAAATAAAGTCGCTAGGGCAACGGGCCTGCCTGCTCTGAGAAGAGAAGAGGGGGTAGGAGCAGACTGAGGGGCCGAGAACCGAGAGGAGAAAAAACTAAAGGATATCAAGATAGCAGTGGCAGCTGTACAGATAACTAATCCAAAGGGCTTTGACTTCTCAAACACGGCAGAAAGCCCCGTCACCTTATTAATTTAGCCACTTACTTAGATAGCAAGTGAAATTAGGGGTCGTTTTAACGCATAATTCTATGTTTTTCATGCAGGGAAAGAATATCTTGCTGCGTTTTTTTAAAACACAGATCTAAAATGATTCTTATTGTAATTTCTGCTCTGCATCAGACTGTTGTGCTTCAGTTTCACTTCTAAACTCAGATGAGACATTCTATCAGCAGACATCGCTGTAAAGGAAAACAAGATCACTCTATTGAAGCAAAAAAAACGCTATTGACTTTCATTATAAAACACGACCCCTGTCAGCACACAGCTGGACTCACCTGCTCCCACTTTCTCCTGTTGTGCTATAACCGCAAATGACCAACACGCAGTTGGTACAGGTGCACAGTTGATGAAACCAATGCTGCAAACTCCGGTTGTAAAACCGTCTCACAAGCGCTCAAAATTGGCTAGAATTCTCCTGTATTCAATACCGGCAATGTAATTCTGACAAAGTAAAAAAAAATATGATTAGAATAGCCTAATTGACAAGTACACGGCCTTCAGAAAGTATTCACACCCCTTGACTTTTTCCACATTTTGTTGTGTTACAGCCTGAATTCAAAATTGATAGAATGTTATGTCACTGGCCTACACACAATACCCCATAATTTCAAAGTGGAATTATGTTTTTAGAAAATTTTACAAATTAATTAAAAATGAAAAGCTAAAATATCTTGAGGCAATAAGTATTCAACCCCTGTGTTATGGCAAGCCTAAAAAAGTTCAGGAGTGAAAATGTGCTTAACAAATCACATATTAAGTTGCATGGACTCAGTCTGTGCAATAATAGTGTTTAACATGATTTTTGAATGACTACCTCATCTCTGTACCCCACACGTACAATTATATGTAAGATCCCTCAGTTGAGCAGTGAATTTCAATCACAGAGTCAACCACAAAGACTAGGGAGGTTTTCCAATGCCCCACAAAGAAGGGCACCTATTGGTAGATGGGTAGAAGTAATATCCCTTTGAGCATGGTGAAGTTATTCATTACACTTTGGATGGTGTATCAATACACCCAGTCACGACAAAGATACAGGCGTCCTGCCCAACTCAGTTGCCGGAGCAGAAGGAAACCACTCAGGGATTTCACCATGAGGCCAATGGTGACTTTAAAACAGTTACAGAGTTGAATGGCTCTAATAGGAGAACACTGAGGATGGATCAACAACATTGTAGTTACTCCACAATACTAACCTAAATGACAGAGTGAAAAGAACGAAGCCTGTACAGAATAAAAAATATTCCAAAACATGCATCCTGTTTGCATTAAGGCACTAAAGTAAAACTGCAAAAAATTGTGGCAAAGAAATTAACTTTATATCCTGAATACACAGTGTTATGTTTGGGGCAAATCCAACACAACACATCACTGAGTACCACTCTTCATATTTTCAAGCATGGTGGTGGCTACATCATGTTATGGGTATGCTTGTCATCGGCAAGGACTATGGAGTTTTTTTAGGATAAAAATAAATGGAATAGAGCTAAGCACAGGCAAAATACTAGAGGAAAACCTGGTTCAGTCTGCTTTCCTACAGACACTGGGAGACAAATTCACCTTTCAGCAGGACAATAACCTAAAACACAAATATACACTGGAGTTGCTTACCAAGATGACATTGAATGTTTCTGAGTGGCCTAGTTACAGTTTTGACTTAAATTGGCTTGAAAATCTATGACAAGACTTGAAAATGGCTGTCTAGCAATGATCAACAACCAACTTGACAGAGCTTGAGAAATTATAAAAATAATAATGTGCAAATATTGTACAATTCAGGTGTTCAAGGCTCTTAGAGACTTACCCAGAAAGACTCACAGCTGTAGTCGCTGCCAAAGGTAATTTTAACATGTATTGACTCAGGCAGGGATGTGAATACTTATGTAAATTAGATATTTATATGTTACATTTTTTATACATTTGCAAAAATTCTAAAAACATGTTTTCACTTTGTCATTATGGGGTATTATGTGAAGATGGGTGAGAAAATACATATACAGTGGGGAAAAAAAGTATTTAGTCAGCCACCCATTGTGCATGTTCTCCCACTTAAAAAGATGAGAGAGGCCTGTAATTTTCATCATAGGTACACGTCAAATATGACAGACAAAATTAGAAAAAAAATGCCAGAAAATCACATTGTAGGATTTTTAATGAATTTATTTGCAAATTATGGTGGAAAATAAGTATTTGGTCAATAACAAAAGTTTATCAATACTTTGTTATATACCCTTTGTTGGCAATGACACAGGTCAAACGTTTTCTGTAAGTCTTCACAAGGTTTTCACACACTGTTGCTGGTATTTTGGCCCATTCCTCCATGCAGATCTCCTCTAGAGGTTTCGGTGCTGTCGCTGGGCAATATGGACTTTCAGCTCCCTCCAAAGATTTTCTATTGGGTTCAGGTCTGGAGACTGGCTAGGCCACTCCAGGACCTTGAGATGCTTCTTACGGAGCCACTCCTTAGTTGCCCTGGCTGTGTGTTTCAGGTCGTTGTCATGCTGGAAGACCCAGCCACGACCCATCTTCAATGCTCTTACTGAGGGAAGGAGGTTGTTGGCCAAGATCTCGCGATACATGGCCCCATCCATCCTCCCCTCAATACGGTGCAGTCGTCCTGTCCCCTTTGCAGAAAAAGCATCCCCAAAGAATGATGTTTCCACCTCCATGCTTCACGGTTGGGATGGTGTGCTTGGGGTTGTACTCATCCTTCTTCTTCCTCAAAACACAGCGAGTGGAGTTTAGACCAAAAAGCTCTATTTTTGTCTCATCAGACCACATGACCTTCTCCCATTCCTCCTCTGGATCATCCAGATGGACATTGGCAAACTTCAGACGGGCCTGGACATGCGCTGGCTTGAGCAGGGGGACCTTGCGTGCGCTGCAGGATTTTAATCCATGACGGCGTAGTGTGTTACTAATGGTTTTCTTTGAGACTGTGGTCCCAGCTCTCTTCAGGTCATTGACCAGGTCCTGCCGTGTAGTTCTGGGCTGATCCCTCACCTTCCTCATAATCATTGATGCCCCACGAGGTGAGATCTTGCATGGAGCCCCAGACCGAGGGTGATTGACCGTCATCTTGAACTTCTTCCATTTTCTAATAATTGCGCCAAACAGTTGTTGCCTTCTCACCAAGCTGCTTGCCTATGTCCTGTAGCCCATCCCAGCCTTGTGCAGGTCTACAATTTTATCCCTGATGTCCTTACACAGCTCTCTGGTCTTGGCCATTGTGGAGAGGTTGGAGTCTGTTTGATTGAGTGTGTGGACAGGCGTCTTTTATACAGGTAACAAGTTCAAACAGGTGCAGTTAATACAGGTAATGAGTGGAGAACAGGAGGGCTTCTTAAAGAAAAACTAGCAGGTCTGTGAGAGCCACAATTCTTACTGGTTGGTAGGTGATCAAATACTTATGTCATGCAATAAAATGCTAATTAATTACTTAAAAATCATACAATGTGATTTTCCGGATTTTTCTTTTAGATTCAGTCTCTCACAGTTGAAGTGTACATATGATACAAATTACAGACCTCTACATGCTTTGTAAGTAGGAAAACCTGCAAAATCGGCAGTGTATCAAATACTTGTTCTCCCCACTGTATATACATTTTGAATTCAGGCTGTAACACAACAAAATGTGGAATAAGTCAAGGGGTATGAATACTTTCTGAAGGCCTCTGTAACTATGCTGTCAAGATGGCCCCTGAATGCTGAGTTGCAGGGTTGGCAAGCCTGAACACCCAGTAGCTCTCCATATGGAGGGTTGACAAGTAAAAAATCTGTCCTACTTGTCCGTAGGAGAAGTGGCTAAAAAAGTGAATGCCTTTTGGTGGGAACAATCTCTTATAACACCAGGGTTGGGTGTAATTGTTGTCTTACGTGTCAGCCGCCTTTCTGTATTACACAATATTACACAGTATGCTACATTAAACACTAGAAGTTGGTTGTTTCTCCCAGCAGGAGAAACTGGACAAAACTAGTTAAAATGGCAGTTTCTGATTTATAATGATGTACTTTCAACATTTTCTGATTATAATGATGTAATTTCAACAGTTTCTAATTTATAATGATGTAATTTCAACAGTTTCTGATTGTAATGATGTAATTTCAACAGTTTCTGATTGTAATGATGTCATTTCAACAGTTTCTGGTTATAATGATGTCATTTCAACAGTTTCTAATTTATAATGATGTAATTTCAACAGTTTCTAATTTATAATGATGTAATTTCAACAGTTTCTGATTGTAATGATGTAATTTCAACAGTTTCTGATTGTAATGATGTCATTTCAACAGTTTCTGATTGTAATGATGTCATTTCAACAGTTTCTGGTTATAATGATGTCATTTCAACAGTTTCTGGTTATAATGATGTCATTTCAACAATTTTCCCTACTGGGCCCAGTGGGCTGCCACCTGTTTCAAATCATTCGTATAATATTGGGAACTACTCTGCATGAAATGGTACCTCATTCAAGACAGTGTCTATAGTGTGCTGTGAAACATCATGTTACAGCGCTGCATGTTGTTTGTCTACATACCAGGTGGCCAAAACTGGTTGAAAAGACGTCATAATGACAGAATTTCAACCAGTTTGTGGTTGTGATAACCTCATTGCAACCAGTTTTGCCCGCTGGGCATGTTTTATTGTCTATGGAGAACCAGCGTCCCACACAACATTTCTATTCTACTAGCTTTCTTATTGTCTTGCTTCAGTGTCACTCTTTTTATATCTGTAACTTGCAACTATCCTAGATAAAAGATACATTTGGAAAAAAGCTGAAGCAAAAACACTATTTACTCACAGACTACGTGTCTTACTGCTTTGTTTTGTTCTGTTCTCTGACAAGCAGATTTCTCTGTTCCTCCCACTTTTTCTCCCCCCTCCCCCCACCCTCTTTCTGTCTCTCTCTCTCTGGTCTGTCTCTCTCTCTGTCTCTCTCTCTCTCTGGTCTGTCTCTCTCTCTCTGGTCTGTCCATCTCTCTGTCTCTCTCTCTCTGGTCTGTCCACCTCTCTGTCTTTCTCTGGTCTGTCCATCTCTCTGTCTCTCTCTCTCTGGTCTGTCCATCTCTCTGTCTCTCTCTCTCTGGTCTGTCCATCTCTCTGTCTCTCTCTCTGGTCTGTCCATCTCTCTGTCTCTCTCTCTGGTCTGTCCATCGCTCTGTCTCTCTCGCTCTGGTCTGTCCATTGCTCTGTCTCTCTCTGGTCTGTCCATCTCTCTGTTTCTCTCTCTGGTCTGTCCATCTCTCTGTCTCTCTCTCTCTCTGGTCTGTCCATCTCTCTGTCTCTCTCTCTCTGGTCTGTCCATCTCTCTGTCTCTCTCTCTGGTCTGTCCATCGCTCTGTCTCTCTCGCTCTGGTCTGTCTCTCTCTCTGGTCTGTCTCTCTCTCTCTGGTCTGTCCATCTCTCTGTCTCTCTCTCTCTGGTCTGTCCACCTCTCTGTCTTTCTCTGGTCTGTCCATCTCTCTGTCTCTCTCTCTCTCTGGTCTGTCCATCTCTCTGTCTCTCTCTCTCTGGTCTGTCCATCTCTCTGTCTCTCTCTCTCTCTCTGGTCTGTCCATCTCTGTCTTTCTCTCTGGTCTGTCCATCTCTCTCTCTCTCTCTCTCTGGTCTGTCCATCTCTCTGTCTTTCTCTCTGGTCTGTCTGTCTTTCTCTGGTCTGTCTGTCTCTCTCTGGTCTGTCTGTCTGTCTGTCTCTCTCTCTGGTCTGTCCATCTCTCTGCCTTTCTGTGTTGCTGCTTCCAGTGTCTGTGGCTCCTCCTCCTCCTCCTATGGTCCAGCTGACTCCTCAGATCCCTCTGACCGGCTTTGTGGCCAGAGTGCAGGAGACCAGTAAGTCTCACACACACACACACACACACACACACACACACACACACACACACACACACACAGGCAACATCAAAACCACTCCCTCAGTCCTATATATGACACTGGGACCTATTAGTCCTCTTTGATGTTGTCTGTCATGCCTTTGTCACACGCTCCCTAATGCCTTCCATTTCTTGTCTGTTGCCATGGTCACTGAGATACAGGGGAAAGTGTTCTATGGTTCTATCTCTGTCCACTGAACACACCTGACTTAACGTTTGGAAAAACCGCATAGTCTCAGCCAAGTCACACGGTTTTAAGCAGACCGGGCACGTCTCAGTGACACCCTCCCAATGCCTCAGTGTCCTTATCCAGGTGACCTTAGTGGTTTTTCCAGCTGGACAGTTTCATCCTTCCTTTCCTTGTTTTGCATTTGACCCAGAGAAGCTGTAGGAGACATAGCACTCTGAACTACTGTGTCTGTCTCCTACAGTTAAGAGAATACACTGTGCTCTGTCATACCATCTGCTGGCCAGTGTAGGTCATCACATGTCTGGAAGATCAGGCTCATGCATAGAATAGAATAGAGTAGAATATAATAGATATGAATTCATGTTTTGTTTGTATGATGTTAAGGAGCAACGAACTGGTAGGGCATTTGGAAGTTATTGAAGTTGTGTGTTCAGTTTGGAGTGGCAGAGCTGAGTTCATATGACATTTTATATAACACTTTATATGAGCAGCCTGTGGGTGAGACATAATGTAAATGTAACCTGTCATAAGACTGACATAAGGCTTACATAACAATTCCATGACAACTGGTTACTGTAATGATACTGCACTGTCATGTTGCATGCATGTTATTCATATGTTATACTGTAGGTACAGTCAGTATATCCTAAAAATGGAAAACCCTGCTCTGTATATATATATACAGTACCAGTCAAAGGTTTGGACACACACCTACTCATTCAAGGGTTTTTCTTAATTTTTCTACATTGTAGAATAATAGTGAAGACATCAAAACTATGAAATAACACATGGAAACATGTAGTAATCAGAAAAGTGTTAAACAAATCAAAATATATTTTTATATTTGAGATTCTTCAAATAGCCACCCTTTGCCTTGATGACAGATTTGCACCCTCTTGGCATTCTCTCAACCAGCTTCACCTGGAATACTTTTCCAACAGTCTTGAAGGAGTTCCCACATATGCTGAGCACTTGTTGGCTGCTTTTCCTTCACTCTGCGGTCCGACTCATCCCAAACCATCTCAGTTGGGTTTAGGTTGGGTGATTGTGGAGGCCAGGTCATCTGATGCAGCACTCCATCACTCTCCTTCTTGGTAAAATTGCCCTTACACAGCCTGGAGGTGTGTTGGGTCATTGTCCTGTTGAAAAACAAATGATAGTCCCACTAAGCCCAAACCAGATGGGATGGCGTATCGCTGCAGAATGCTGTGGTAGCCATGCTGGTTAAGTGTGCCTTGAATTCTAAATAAATCACAGAGAGTGTCACTAGCAAAGCACCCCCACACCATAACACCTCCTCCTCCATGCTTTACGGTGGGAAATACACATGCGGAGATCATCCGTTCACCCACACCGCATCTCACAAAGACACGGCGGTTGGAACCAAAAATCTCAAATTTGGACTCCAGACCAAATGACAAATGTCCACCGGTCTAATGTCCATTGCTTGTGTTTCTTGGCCCAAGCAGGTCTCTTCTTCTTATTGGTGTCCTTTAGTAGTGGTTTCTTTGCAGCAATTCGACCATGAAGGCCTGATTCACACAGTCCCCTCTGAACAGTTGATGTTGAGATGTGTCTGTGACTTGAACTCTGTGAAGTATTTATTTGGGCTGCAATTTCTGAGGCTGGTAAGTCTAATGAACTTATCCTCTGCAGCAGAGGTAACTCTGGGTCTTTCCATTCCTGTGGTGGTCCACATGAGAGCCAGTTTCATCATAGCGCTTGATGGTTTTTGCGACTGCACTTGAAGAAACCTTCAAAGTTCTTGAAATGTTCCGTATTGACTGAACTTCATGTCTTAAAGTAATGATGGACTGTCGTTTCTCTTTGCTTATTTGAGCTGTTGTTGCCATAAAATGGACTTGGTCTTTTACCAAATAGGGCTATCTTCTGTATACCCCCCCTACCTTGTCACAACACAACTGATTGGTTCAAACGTATTAAGAAGGAAATAAATTCCACAAATTAACTTTTAAGAAGGCACACCTGTAAATTGAAATGCATTCCAGGTGACTACCTCGTGAAGCTGGTTGAGAGAATGCCAAGAGTGTGCAAAGCTGTTATCAAGGCAAAGAGTGGCTACTTTGAAGAATCTCAAATATAAAATATATTTTGATTTGTTTAACACTTTTTTGGTTACTACATGATTCCATATGTGTTATTTCATAGTTTTGATGTCTTCACTATTATTCTACAATGTAGAAAAAAGTAAAAAATAAAGAAAAAACCGTTGAATGAGTAGGTGTGTCCAAACTTTTGACTGGTACTGTATATATTACAGCTGGGGTTTCCTGTTTAAGATATATATATATATACAGGATATTAGCGCTATATATATTTAGGAGTTTTCCCTGGTCAGGTCACATGGTCAGGAGAAACACTTGGCCCTATTGATGTCACAGAAAGAAATAGAATTACTACACCAGTCGATGAAATTCTACTTCCATAATGTCCGTCATTTCTTCCCCAACCCCTGTCCCCGTCTCCGTCCAGTTACAGATGACCCGGCCCCCCCTCCACCGCCCCCTCCCGAGGACGTGATCATGTTTGAGGAGCCCTCGCCCCCTCCCCCGCCCCCGCCCGTGGACTACCAAGGGGATGAGGAGGCGGCCGTAGTGCACTACAATGACCCCTATGCTGACGGAGACCCCCACTGGGCCCCCAAGGCCTACGCAGAGAAGGGTGAGTTTGACTGGTACCCCCGGAACGTCAGTGACGTAATACAGAGACCAGTCACTAATACCCATTTCAGCATGATTTAGGGGCTGTTATAAGCTTGTTTTTAAATGGTGCAAAGTAAATGTCTGTGGACACAGACAATTAAACGTATCCAAATCCGGATTACCAATTTAGTACAGGACATACGATACTATAGTACACCCACAAATTGTATATCTTTGGTTTAGGCCTACTATAATATTAGGACTGTATCTGTACTGTAATCTCTTTAAGGAATCCTTTCAAGTACAACCCATTCCCACCATTTGTCCTCTCTCACTCTGTTCTGTCTCTGGTCAGGTCGTTATTGTAAAAGAGAATGGGTTCTTACCCGGTAAAAACAAACACCAGAAATAAATGAATCCAATGTATTTTACAGTGGTGGCTATTTACGACTACTCCAAGGACAAGGAGGACGAGCTGTCCTTCATGGAGGGCTCCATCATCTACATCATCAAGAAGAACGACGACGGCTGGTACGAGGGCGTCTGCAATGGCGTCACCGGCCTCTTCCCCGGCAACTACGTAGAGTCCATCATGCACTACGCAGACTAAGGGGCGGCCATTTTGACAGAGCAAAAATGCCAAGATGTTACCAGAAAACAACAATTTGGGGGGTTGGGAGGGAGGGGGTTGGGAGGGAGGGGGGAGGGGGTTGGGAGGGGGGGGGTTGGAAGGTGGGCCAAGGGACAGGGAATAGGGACATCAAAGGGGTATAGTGAGTGTAGATTGCAAAAAGATATGAACGTGAATTTGCTTATTTCTGGTGAAGTTCTTTTGTTTTTGTTATATAACTTGTATATACTGTAATGTGAGAAGCTGACAGTTGGTTTGTCAGTAGTGTGAGAAGCTGACAGTTGGTTTGTCAGTAGTGTGTTGTACCTGTGAGTTTTCATCGGCGTCTTTTGAGTGGTCAACAGCAAGCCAAGTTGTGCCAGATAAGGATGGTTTAACTCTTATTTTTCGGGTATTATTTGATTTTTCTCTTTTGGTGCCATTTCTACCCTCACCTCGGCCAATTGTCACTTGATAAGAATGTTTTTTTTTAATGTGGAAAATAAATTTTATCTTACTGTTTTTTATGCTGTCAGGCTACTGTAGAAAATGGTTCCTGAAATGTGCTTGCTTCAAATGGCAAACGTCAAGAAACTGATTATTGTACTTTTGCTCCATCATGGTTCCATTGTGTTGGAATGTCTGCTTAGTTCTCAGTGGCTTTTTATATGACTTTTTTTATTCGTTTTGAGTTATATCATCCTGGGTTTGTCAGTGGGGTCCGGTTAGGCGCTTATCTTTGGTGCTTGATAACCATTATCACCTTCCATCCTCAACCTCAAAACAAGGAGTCTGTCCAAGAAGGGTGCTAGCCTACCTATTGAGCAGTACAGGGGGATTTGGAACAATGCTACATGTTCAATCTTGAACGTAACCTTGCTATATCATTTCTATCACAGTGAATGTAGGCAATTTAGCGGTGCATTGTTAACTCAAATGTACTAAAACGATTGTCAAAAAAAAAAAAAAAAAAAGACACATTTGTGCCACACATTTATGAAAAAGTCATATTCCACATACATTTCAGTGCATAGTAATGCCTAAACAACTTCCTTGCAAACATGACATGATGATTTGACTCAATACAGTTTATGACAAAATACTTCCCATGCAAAGATGTAGGTTGCTTGTGGTTGGTTGGCCTTACCTCTTACATACTGACATTTTAGGTTTATTTGTCATGAGCCGTCAGTGATGCTAAGCACAGGTTACGGTTATGACCATAGGTTACGGTTATGACCATAGGTTACAGTTATGACCATAGGTTACGGTTATGACCACAGGTTACGGTTATGACCATAGGTTACGGTTATGACCATAGGTTACGGTTATGACCATAGGTTACGGTTATGACCATAGGTTACGGTTATGACCCATAGGTTACAGTTTTGACCATAGGTTACGGTTATGACCACAGGTTACGGTTATGACCATAGGTTACGGTTATGACCATAGGTTACGGTTATGACCACAGGTTACGGTTATGACCACAGGTTACAGTTATGACACCATGAAGTAGACATGACGCACAGACAAAGTTAAGTAAAGCTTGCTACGTGCACCTGTGTGGAAGACCATGTAATGCCAACATATTCAACATGAACAGTATTCAACCTCAATGTATGCATGACTACATGAATACATAAAAAAAAAAAAAAAAAGGTTTTATTGTGAATAATAATTTGCCATTACAGCCAGTTAATGATTGTACTTTTAACTTTTCCATCAGAGGTCATTTTTGTGAGAAACAACTTTT